CAATCCCAGGACCCTGAGATCATGACCTGAGCTGAAGGCAGAGGCTTAACCCACTGAACCACCCAGGTGCCCCGAATGTTTTATTTTTAAATATAGGTTTTATTTTTCATGTGTGGTGAGACCAATGGATCAGGAGATGATTGCCATTGAAAATAAGGTTTGTTACAGTTCCCAAGAGGGAGGCTGCACACCACGCCATGCAGAGCCACATGGGGAAGCACCAGCATCAGTCAGGAGGCAGAAGGAGCAAGCAGAAGGCATGGGCAGGAGGTTTTGTTGTAGTTTCTGTGGGAAAGGCAAGGAGATGTAGGGTAAGCAGGCTTAGAATTGGTTACTTTGAATAATTTCAGGAGGCTACAGGGTCCAGAGACTTTCTCTAGGTTATCTAGTATCTGGTCCTTTGATGATTAGGGCAGAAAAATATTGCCTCCTACAGTATGAGTTTTGAATTGGTTCATTGGCACATGAGAAGTGAATAACAGGGCAAATCGCTTGCTGTTTCTAAGGATTGGCTGGCCCTGGGAGGGCGGTGATACTAGTCAGCTAGGCTAGATGCCAAAACAATAAAAATACAGGAAATAAGAAAATATAGTTAATACATAGTTGATGAGAAAAATGAGGAAATCAAAGCAATTTCCAACTGGAATGACAATGTGGAAGTGAAATGCTATTAACTTTCCAGAGAACTAAACTTTACTGAGCACCTACTATGACCTTTATATCATCTCAATCCTCAAAGCAAAGCTTTGACAATGGGACTATTTTTAGCTTAATTTTACAGTTGTGTTGACAAGGACTGCAAGAGTTTGTGCGCAGTCCCACAAACTGTGGGACATGCTCCCTCACAGCTTGATTTTAGGTATGTTGAGTCTGAGATGCCTGCAGAGTATCTTGGTAGAAGTATCTAGGACACAATGCCAGGAATATCCCCACTTTTACCTCTGTTCTTACTTAACAGAAATGTGCCTTGCACTTGCTACATCACAGCTACTGCTCTAAAACTTCACAAATACCAGCTTATTTAACCCCATAGCAATACTTAGAGGTATTTATTATTATACCCATTTTATTCATATGTTTACTGATTACAATAGCTACCAATTTATGGAAACACTGACAAAGCACACACTATGCTAACAACTTTATGTAAATTAAAGTTGATCAGGTAAGACAAATGTGATCATCTCCATTTCAAAGACTAGAAACCAAGGCTTAATGGCTTGCCTCATTTGACTACTATCACATGGCTTGGTTTTTATGAATTTCATAAATGTGAGTTTCTGTTGTAATGAAAACCATTGTCCCATTTTGCAGACTAGAAAGTAAGGATCAGTAGTAGCCATGGGGCCACAAGTTACCCAAGCTCAATTTGAATTTCAGTGTATGTGATACTTCATTCCAATCTTTTCCCAATATCCCTGTGCTTTTCAAATGGCGGTTCACTAGAGCTGCACTTTCAGTCAGTTTCAGAAACATGAGTTTCTTCACAGGATTTCACAAGAGCGGCCATTACTATGGGCTGAATTATATTCTCCTCAAAATCCCTACTGAATTCAGTCCTCCAGTACCTCAGAACATGATTGTGTTTTGGGACTGGACCTTTAAAAAAGTTTGCATTTTAGAAGGTAAAATGAAGTCATACAGGTAGGTCCTAATCTAAAATGGCTGGTGTCTATCTAAGAAGGGGAAATTTGGGCACAGATGCAGAAGGGGGAGAGACCAAGTGAAGATGCCACCTGTAAGCCAAGGGGAGAGCCTAAATCAAGCCCACTGACACCCTGGTCTCATCCTCCCAGCCTCCAGGACTTCATAAGCAAATAAATGTCTGTCCTTGAAGCCACCCAGCCTGCGGTAATTTGTCATGGTGGCCCTAAGAAACTAATACACAGGGCAAGTTTCCACTACTAAAGTGAAACTGGAAAGCCACCATCCTGGACTGTTGCACAGGCCGTTCGACCGGTCTGACTGATTTCCCAAGTTCACTAACTGGGAGGTCAGATGACTTCCCGGGATCAAAGCCAAATTCCTCTTGCTCTTACTTGGACCACTGATCTGCAGACGTTTTGTTCTTTTTCTTGTAACTTCCTCTCCTGTGACTGGGGACATAAATATTAGAGAAACAAAAGCCCAGAATGCTAAGGTTGCCAGTCTCACTTCCTCTTGCCCCTGAACCAGCAGCAGTACTGTTCTGAATATCTTAATCATCCTGGGGCACCCAGCAGGGCAGGGAGAAGGCAGCAGTGCCCCAGTGACCATCCCAGCAGGCGGATACAACGTGTCATGTTTCACAGAGCCACTTCTGGGCACAGAAAATGTCAGAATGATGTCTCCTACCCGCCTGGCTGGGATGCTGATCCCAGCCATGGCCTTCCTCTCCTGCCTGAGACCTGAGAGCTGGGAGCCTTGTGTGCAGGTATGTGGCTCTGAGTCAGTTCTTCTCCTGGGAGATTTGCCTTGCTTCTGAAAAACTGCTCTCTGCCTAGAACTTCCCACTGTGGCTCCCTCCTAGCTGGCTAGTTACATTTGCAACAAGGAGTCAAATTACCTGAAGGATTTGAAAAGCCACAGGGACCGAAGAGTTCATGGTTATATAGCACCAACAGGCAGCCCGTGGGCCCATGGCCCATTTAGGACTTTTAGGGCTAGTAGGGGCTTTACATCAGAGAGATCTACTGTTCTTTGACTTCTGGGCTGTGTGACCTTGAAGAAGTTATTAAACCTCTCTGAAGCCAATTTTTACATCTATAGCAGTCTTATAATAACACCTACTTCAGTAGAGAGTTGTAAGAGGTCTGCTTCTTGTCATTTCTTTCTGCTGGTGGATTGTACTCTCAGCTTCAGGCACTTACTTTGCTCCTTTCAATCTCAGGAAGGTGTTTTGTTTTTTTTGTTTTGCCTTTTGTCTCTTAATAGTGAGAACTTTCTAAGTGGAGTTCAGACTTTTAGATCTAGCCTTTTCATCAAAGGATGAAAAGAAATGGAATTGGAAAAGAAAAGTAGAGAGAGAAAAATAAAGAAAAAAGATGGAGAGAGAGAGAGAGAGAGACAAACAGAGAAGGGGGAAAAAGAGAGAGAGAGAACCATGTAAAATGACAGCTAATCTAATGGTTTCTTTCTTTTGTGAAACACCAACTAACTTTTGCGTAATCTCATTCATGATGGATCTCTTTTGTTTTCCCCTGTGTGGACTTCACAAGTGCTTGGAAAGCCCATGGTAGAACCCAAAAACTGAGGGAATGTCCTGAGATTTAGTGTGTGGCCGGGTCAGAAACTCAGAAAAGCATAACCAGCCAAAGTCCTGAGAATGAGAGCATTGGTGAAATAAGACACTTTAATATATAACAAAGATGAATTTGTCATCTCAAAGTCCTCCCTTCCTCCAACTCTCTGCCCAGAGCTCTGCTCATTGTCTTCTCTGTGTCCGTCCTGCTGTTAGGTTAATGGGAATGGATCCTCTAATCAGTCACCCCCAGATAAAATCACACCTTCCCTTCCCCTATCCCCATATTCTCAGTCTCCAAAACCTGTCCAACCCTGCCCATTCACTCGGTGTCATCCTAGGGCAGGTCCTCAGTCTCCCTTGCCTTGATTCTTGGACAGTTACTGGTCTCCTGCTTCTTGGTCTCCTTTCCACTCTAATTCATTCTGTACATTTTTGTTTGTTCTTTATTTGTTGTTGTTTTGCCCAAGGTTCAGTTCTAACAAATTGCCCTCTTAACAGCTTATTATAACTTCTGCATGCTATTAGGACAGTTTGCTACCTAAGGGCCTTTGCACTGACTATTTCCTCGGGCCAGAATGCTTTCCTCCTAGATCAGTGCTGCCCAAAGGTAATACCATGTAGGTCACATGATCTTATTTAAATTTAAACAATAAATGTAACTAAATTTAGCCAAATTTTTACTTACCTAAATTTTAGCTGTTTGTTTATTTATTTCTGGAAGTTAATAATTGTTATTGTATTTACTGACTATTCCAATGTCTTTTTTTCTTCCCTAGAGAAAGAGAAAAAGAGAGCATGCCTGTGTGTGAGTGAAGGGAGAGGGGCAGAGGGAAAGGGAGAGAATCCCAAGCAGACTGTGCTAAGTGTAGAACCTGTCAGGGGACTTGTTTCACAACCCTGAGATGAAAACCCGAGCCAAATTAAGAGCCAGTCACTTAACTGAATGAGCCACCCAGGTGCCCCCATTCTAATGTCTTCATAAGTTTTTTTTTTTAATTTAAATTCAATTAGCCAACATATAGTACTTCATTAGTTTCAGATGTAGTTTTCAATAATTCATCAATTAAACATAGCTTTAAATTTTCTGGTAATCACATTGAAAAATTAAAATTGGTAAATTTAATTTTAATAATATTTTTATTTAACTCAGTATATTCAAAATATTATTTGAAAATGTAATATATACTAAACTATTAATAAAATACTTCACATTCTTTTTTTGGTACTAAGTGTTTGCGATTTAGTATGTATTTTACAGTTTCCCTGTCTCTCAGCTTAGACTAAATGTCTCATGCTCAATAGCCATGTGTGGCTAGAGGCCACCATGTTGGGCAGTGCAGTCTTAGATTTCTTCATGACTTAATCCCTCACTTCACACTTGATCTTAGCCAAAAGGCCGAGAAGTGATAAATCCCTCACTTCATTTATATTTCTGCCTAAATGTCATCTCCTTTTGGAAGTATTCCTTGATCACCTCATGTAGAACTTGCCAAACCCCATATTTCCTTCTTTTTTTTTTTTTAAGATTTTATTTATTTATTTGACAGAGAGAGATCACAAGTAGGCAGAGAGGCAGGCAGAGAGAGAGAGAGGAGGAAGCAGGCTCCCCGCCGAGCAGAGAGCCGATGTGGGGCTCGATCCCAGGACCCCGGAATCATGACCTGAGCTGAAGGCAGAGGCTTTAACCCACTGAGCCACCCAGGTGCTCCCCCCCCCCAATATTTCCTTCTAATCTCTAGATGCTTTATTTTTTATAGCATATTATTAAACATTTTTTGTGTATTTGTTCATTTGTCCTTCCCTTTGATATGGGATCTATAAGTGAACAACACCATTGCTGATTTTTATTTACCTCTATATCCCAGTGTTTTGTGCTGGTCTCAGCCTATCAGTAACCCATGTTGTGGCTGGACCAGCCCCCTTTGGTTCTTTATGATTGTAAGATACCCTTAAGAGATGACCATCAGGAAATTTTGAAAAACTGGAAGTTTATTACTCTGAGACCTGGAAATTACACAGCACAAGTAGGGCCACCCAGCAATACTGAGGGTAAAGAGAAAAAGCTCTCAAGCATGTGAAGTTCTATTGTTATTGGGGTTAAGGAGGGGGGACTAGGGTTTCTCTGGCTCCCTCTTTATTGGTGAGTTTAAAACATAAGAGCAAGGATTGAGGAAGGGGTGGTGGAAAGAGGGGGCAGGAAGAAGGCCAAGCGAGGAGAAGTGGCCCGGCTCTTTATCTAGTCATGTGGCTGGCATTGTGTTTCTTGGAGATAGCCCTCTTTGAAGTGGATGCTTCCCTTGTCAAAGCTTAAATCAGACAGTTGCATTACAAGAAGAGCCAACTGCCAAGGCTTACACTATACCCAGCGCCTAGCACATCGTAGGTGCTCAACTTTCACATGTTGTATGATTAAAAGCATTGCCACAGGGCTCTGGCTTCCCCACGTACTTAGGTTTTACCACTCCTACTTCGTACCAGCTACTCTGAGTTAGTTTCCATCTCTTCTTGCTTACACTGTTCTCTCCCTCTTCCTCTTTCCATGTATCCGAATCTTACTCATCCTTTAAGACTCACCTTGAAATCCTCTCTTTCTCAGAAGCCATCTATAATCCCTGGATCTGGAATTGATCTCTACCATATATGAGCAGGAGGAAGTTATTGTCCAGGCCTGGTTTATGGTCCTTTTCAGTAATGTGAGTCCTGTTCCTACCTCAACTTTTCCTCTGATTGTGAGATCACTGAAGTCTGGAGCCATATCACATGGGTCATGGCACGGTCCACAGCACTTAGAGAAAATGGCTACAATTTGAAGATTTAAGCAAACCTGCATTCAATCAGTTATTAATTCATTTATTCAATAAATAGTAAGCATTACCCATTTTCCAGGTACAATTCAGAGTGCTGGAGCCATAGCAGAGAGCAAGAAAACCAAAGCTTACAACCTAATGAGGGAAATGAACAACACACATGGAAAAATCACACAGATAATTTATGATAGATGGTGATGCACTGTGTGGAGGTAGATGGAAGAGAGTAAAGAAAGGAAGCCTGGGGCCACCTGGGTGCCTCAGTTGTTTAAGCCTCTGCCTTCGGCTCAGGTCATGATCTCAGGGTCCTGGGATCGAGCCTCACATCAGGTTCTCTGCTCAGCTGAGAGTCTGCTTCCCCCCCTCCCCCGCTTGTCTCTCTGTCTACTTGTGGTTTCTCTCTCTGTCAAATAAATAAATAAATAAATCTAAAAAAAAAAAAAAAAGGAACGAAGGAAGCCTGTCACCATCTGCAATTACACAGTATGGTCTGGGAGGCTCCTATAAGGGACAGCATTTCAGGAGACATGCCAATGAAGCCAAGAGCTGCACATGTGACCTGTGATACTTTATGCATATTACTTCTCTCTGAATTCTTCTTTAAAAGGTTTATTTGAGAAGACATACAAATGGCTATCAGACACATGAAAAAATGTTCATCATCACTAGCCATCAGGGAGATTCAAATTAAAACCACATTGAGATACCACCTTACACCAGTTAGAATGGCCAAAATTAGCAAGACAGGAAACAACGTGTGTTGGAGAGGATGTGGAGAAAGGGGAACCCTCTTACACTGTTGGTGGAAATCCAAGTTGGTGCAGCCACTTTGGAGAACAGTGTGGAGATTCCTCAAGAAATTAAAAATAGAGCTTCCCTATGACCCTGCAATTGCACTACTGGGTATTTACCCCAAAGATACAGATGTAGTGAAAAGAAGGACCATCTGTACCCCAATGTTTATAGCAGCAATGGCCACGGTCGCCAAACTGTGGAAAGAACCAAGATGCCCTTCAACGGACGAATGGATAAGGAAGATGTGGTCCATATACACTGTGGAGTATTATGCCTCCATCAGAAAGGATGAATACCCAACTTTTGTGGCAACATGGACGGGACTGGAAGAGATTATGCTGAGTGAAATAAGTCAAGCAGAGAGAGTCAATTATCATATGGTTTCACTTATTTGTGGAGCATAACAAATAGCATGGAGGACATGGGGAGATGGAGAGGAGAAGGGAGTTGAGGGAAATTGGAAGGGGAGGTGAACCATGAGAGACTATGGACTCTGAAAAACAACCTGAGAGTTTTGAAGGGGCAAGGGGTGGGAGGTTGGGGGAGCCAGGTGGTGGGTATTAAGGAGGGCACGTATTGCATGGAGCACTGGGTGTGGTGCAAAATCAATGAATACTGTTACGCTGAAAAGATATTTAAAAAAAAGGTTTATTTGACGATTAAAGTATATAACATATAAGAAATAAATATGCCCACATGTGGCAGGGGATTAATAATAACTGCTAATAATAAATGTTAACATTTATTGATCATTTTCACTTTAATAGGCATCGAGATAATCTCTTTAAATACCTTATTTCATTTAAACCTTTTAACAGATTCTATTTTTTTTTAATTTTTTAAATATTTTATTTATTTGTTTGACAGACAGAGATCACAAGTAGGCAGAGAGGCAGGCAGAGAGAGAGGGAGAAGCAGGCTCCCCGCTGAGCAGAGAGCCCAATGTGAGGCTCGATCCCAGGACCTGGGATCATGACCTGAGCTGAAGACAGAGGCTTTAACCCACTGAGCCACCCAGGTGCTCCTTGGTTTTAAACACAAAACCAAAGTTAGCTAGCTTAAGGAAGAAATTTTGTTGAAGAAATCAGAGAATTCATAAATTAAATGTGAGGTTAGAGAATAAGCGCTTACAAAGCATTTGGGAAAGTATGATGGAAACGAGCACATGAACCAAAGGAGCATAAACCACTCGACTTTGTTTACTAGGTTTCACCATTGGAATCCACACATCCTAAAGATTTTTCCCCATTTCTGTATCACCTTCTCAAAGATCAATGAGTCAAGGGAGAGAATGCCAATGGCATAAATTGAGCTATGATTGTGAGATGTGGACACCTTAACTGGCTGTATACAATTGTGGGGTTCTTAGGGAAAAACACTTTGCCCTAAATCACATGGAAGAACTGGGTGAAATGCAGGGCTTTTGACTCCAAAGCCTCAGCTCTTTACTACTTCATTCCATTGACTCCCTCTAAATGCTGTCATCGTGATAGTAGAGGTTAGAAAACCAGGGACATAGGTGCTCCCCGTTCCAAATCTGGTGTAAGAGATTTTAGAATTATAAAGAATTATAAAGTGAGTGAACGGATGAATGAATGGATGGGTGGATGGATGGATATATGGATGGATGGCTGGATGATGGATGGATGATTGGATGACAGATGGGTGGATGGACAGGTGAATGACTGAGTGATAGATGGGTGGATAGATGGATGATCAGAGGATGGATGGATGGATGGCCCCTGTGCTTATACTGGAGGTCTCCAAGGTTCTGGCCTAGGAGAGGAGAGTGGAAAAGGCAGTTAAGTTGCATGAATTCAGACACTGTATCTAATATGTGATCATTGCAGGTGGTTCCTAACATTACTTACAAATGCATGGAGCTGAATCTCAACAAAATTCCCAACAACATTCCTACATCAACCAAGAAACTGGACCTGAGCTTTAATCCCCTGAGGCATTTAGGCAACCATAGCTTCTCCAACTTCCCGGAACTACAGGTGTTGGATTTATCCAGGTAATGAATGAGATTTTACACATTGCCCAAGGTAAAATTCTCACTGTTCTATCACTTCATTCTTATGTCAGGTGTCTCATCTTTATTCACTTATTCATTCAACAGATATCTTACTTGCTGTATAACTTCATGTGAGCCACCTCCCTTCTGATCTCATTGCCTTATCTGTGAAATGAGCAGCTGGTTGAAAAAGTTTTTAAGAACAGTTCTACTTTTTGATATAGTTTAAGTCAAGGGAGAAAATTGACTCAAACTCTTTCACTAGCAGATGATTGCTAACTACTTCCTATATATTATACAGTCTGCTAGGAAACAAGAGTATATTGATATATACACTTCAGCTATTAAGCTATTAAGGTGAGCATACACACCTGAAAGAAGTAACCTGTTACAATCCTGAGCATGGTGCTAATCACATAGTGGGCATGCAATAAATGTTACTTAATTCTGATTCTGGATTTTGAACCTGACATAGGATGGCAATATAGACCAGTTAAGTGATAAGCTGTGCACAAACTAGAGGCAACATATTGTGTTGTTCAGAAAAGGGGGCTTCTCTGCAGTGGGTAGTGAAGACAGATGTCGTGAACTGAGTGGGATTCAAATATGTCTAGAATATTGAAAGTGGGATAGAGGATAGGGAAAGAAGAAAATATAAGTAATCCAAGGAGGATGATGACAAGATCAAAGGAAAATATCTATTGTGAGAAAGAACAGTGACTAAGATTTTCTTTTCTGATGCAGGGAAATTTATCATTTATTAGGGCAGGTGAAAGTATTATCATTATTTTGGGGGGGGGTAACTGAATCCTAAAACTATTATCATCATTAGGCCCGTATTTTAATAAAATGTACTAGATAATGAATCATATTCTCTGTAAGAGTTTGTGGAAAATGCAGAAGCATTTTATATATGACTTTTTATTATAGAAATACATATTAAATTCTAAGATCATAGCATGAAAATCCTCTTTATAGTGGGTATTTCTGTAGAAAGAAGAGTGGGCATTTGATGTCTTATACTCTAACTTGGAAACTGACAGAGTATGTAACAAAGGAGGAATGGAGCATTTTAAAGCCAGTGGGATAGAGCATAGAGCTCTGTGAGGGTCAAAAGACCCAAGCTGGGCCCTCATCTACCATTTACATCTATGTGGACTGAGGCATGTGACTTCATCTCTCTGAGTGTCAGTTCTCATATCTGTGAAGCAGAAAGGGTGAAACTTAACCCACAGGGATAAATGTGATAATGAATATTAGCCTGTATATGTATTAAGAACCTTACAGAGTTTATAAGAATAAAAATATTATTACAGCACTTCATTAGTTTCTAAATTTCAGTTTTCTGAGTAAGAACTTTGCCAAGGACTATAGTTAAGATAGACAAATCATCCTTCACCCTTTTTAAAACAAGAAGTAGTTTCTCATCAAACAATATCCTTTATAATTCATCTTTGATCCACACCTACACAAGGAACTTCCCTCAGAGGCCTTAACAATGTGCCTGGAGAGAGGACAGGTCCCCCTCAGGTTAGCCAGGAGGATATCCTGGCTTCAGACAGGAACAAACTTAGTACCAAAGATATCCCTTACCTTTTTGTATTCCTTCACAATGTTCACATATAGTAACTCAGCTAGTCCCCTAGACAGCCTTTCATTCCTATGGAAACCTATTGACATATTTGTTTTCTTTTTTAGATGAAGAAACTGAGGCTCAGAGAGTTTTGGTAATTTATCTACATTCACGCTCTACATTTTTTGGAGTTTGTTGGCAGCAGAGATCCATATTTGCATCTCCTGCTTCCAAAGCTAAATGTTCTCTTCATCTTCATGCTCTGCTCCTCCAAAGTGATGAGCTCCCTTTGATGAGACAGAGACACAGCAAGATTCCTCCAGTCTTGCCTAATACATAAGATTACAGGTTATACAATCCTAGACTAGAAAGCAACGTGAGAAATAATCAAGTTTAGCTCCCTCATTTAGAAAGGGGATAAGTGAGATCCACAGAGATATGAGAAGATCACAGAGACACAGACCTGAGATGTCTTGCCCCCTTTTCCAGTGTTCTACCTGTGACACCCACCACCCTCTGTCAAGCTGCCATCAATAAAAGCTTGGGCCAAAATGCTTTTATTACCCCTGACCCTCATGGAGGGGATAGGACAAGTAGAGAAATTGTAAATGTAAATCAGGTTGGACTAGGAAATAACTCATTTGCAAATGCTAACTGGCATGTATCTATAGTGCTAGCAAGAGGCTTGCCATTTGTTGGCTGGATAAGAACCTTGTCTCTACGACACTTCCGTGAATATTGTATAGAGCATAGCTGCCATTTCTCTTGGGGCAAAATTCAAAATGCTTTTCCAGTCGGTAAGCCTCTGCTTTGTATCCTTCTTTCTCCACAACCTCATCTCACACCTCTCCACAACCTCATCTCACACACCCTCCACCCCACTCTGTACACCAGACACAGAAGTTTCTCATGGTTTCTCATGGTTCCTCCATGCATCATGGCTGTCACCTACCTCAGGGCTTTTGTATCTGCTCTTCAGCTCACTTTCTTTTCTTGGTAATTCCTACTCATCCTTCAGATTTCAACTGATGTGCTCTCAGAGAGGTCTACTTTGATCTCCCTTGTCTAGGTCCATTTCTTTAACCTAAGGTTTCGGAGTACACGTTCCTTTTCTTCCACTGAACTCACTTCTACCGACCGTTGCTAACATTTACCTATGATAACTACAACTACAAACATATAGCTAACATATATGGAGAGCTTTGCATAAACCTTGAGGGTATTTGTGACCTTGTGTGTAATTTTTTTATATCCTTGAAATGGACATTTATCAGTCATTTATCATGCCTAAGAGCTAATGGCTATCTTCATCATCTGTACCAATCTGAGGGATAATCACAATTACATGTGGCAGGAAATGGCTGAAGTTAACCCAAGGCAGTTACATACTCTACGAGCCATACAGTCTTCATGTGCCCCAATTATTGATCTTTAACTGATTTCCTTCTGAGGGATGTCCTGCCTCTTCTTAGCATGTGTGCCTTGTACAACAAAAAGAGTTGTCATTGTGTCCAGTAGGGTAATACTGAATCTGGGAGGCTTCTTATTTGCTCATGTCATCATCTGTCCTGCTTCATGTCTCTGTCAATTGATATTCATATGTCATGTCACATCTCTGTGAAGAGCTAGAAGATTGGTATGGTTATTCCTTTTTGACTTTTGATTCAGCAGAAATATTATATAATCTGTATCTCTTTTCCCTGTAGGTGTGAAATTGAGACCATCGAAAACGATACGTATCAGGGCCTAAACCACCTCTCCGTCTTGATATTGACAGGAAACCCTATCCAGAAGTTTCCCACAGAAGCCTTTTCTGGACTCTCAAGTTTACAGACTCTGGTGGCCGTGGAGACAAACCTACAGTCTCTAGAGGATCTCCCCATTGGATATCTCAAAAACTTGAAGGAGCTTAATGTGGCTCACAATCGTATCTGCTCCTTTAAGTTACCTGAATATTTTTCTAACATGACCAACCTGGAGTACTTGGATCTTTCCAATAACAAGATCAAAAATATTTATCATAGTGACTTGCAGGTTCTACATCAAATGCCTCTACTCAACCTTTCTTTAGACTTGTCCCTGAACCCTTTATCCTTTATCCAACCAGGTGCCTTTAAAGAAATTAAACTCCATGAACTGACTTTGAGAAGTAATTTTGATAGTATAGATGCAATGAAAACTTGTATTCAAGGTCTGGCTGGTTTAAAGATCCATCACTTGGTTCTGGGAGAATTTAAAAATGAAAGGAACTTGGAAAGCTTTGACAAATATCTCCTGGAGGGACTGTGCAATTTGACCATTGAAAAATTCCGGATAGCATTCTTTGATGAGTTCTCAGAGGATATCACTGACTTATTTGATTGTTTGGCAAATGTTTCTACAATTTCTCTGGTGCATCTGTTTTTAAAGAGACCACGATACCTTCCTAAAAATCTCAGATGGCAACGGCTGGAAATGGTTAACTGTGAATTTGAAGAATTTCCCAAATGGGAGCTGGACTCTCTCAAGGAGTTTGTTCTCACTGCCAACAAAGGCGTGAGCACTTTTACTAATATGAAGCTGGAAAGCCTTGAGTTTCTAGATCTCAGTAGAAATGACCTGAGTTTCAAGGGTTGCTGTTCTTACACTCACTTGGGGACAACCAGACTGAAGCATTTAGATCTGAGCTTCAATGATATTATTACCATGAGTTCTAACTTCTTGGGCTTAGAACAGCTAGAATATCTAGATTTCCAGCATTCCACCTTGAAACAGGGCAGTGACTTTTCAGTATTCCTATCCCTCAGAAACCTCCGTTACCTTGATATTTCTTATACTCACACCCAAGTTGTCTTCAAAGGTATTTTTGATGGCTTGGTCAGCCTCCAAGTCTTGAAAATGGCTGGCAATTCTTTTCAGGACAACTTTCTTCCAAATATTTTCAAAGACCTGACAAACTTGACCATTCTAGACCTCTCTAAGTGTCAGCTGGAAGGGGTGTCCCAGACAGCATTTGGCTCACTTCCTAAACTTCAGTTGATAAATATGAGTCACAACAACCTCTTGTCATTGGATACACTCCCTTATGAGCCTCTCCTTTCTCTCCAAATTCTGGATTGCAGTTTTAATCGAATAGTGGCCTCCAAGGAGCAAGTACGACAACACTTTCCAAGTAATCTAGTTTCCTTAAATCTTACCCGGAATGACTTTGCTTGTGTTTGTGAACACCAGAATTTCCTGCAGTGGGTCAAGGACCACAGGCATCTCTTGGTGGAAGTGGAAGAAATGGTGTGTACCAAACCTTTAGACATGCAGGACATGCCCCTGCTGAGTTTTAGGAATGCCACCTGTCAGAGGAGCAAGACTATCATTACTGTGTCAGTGTTCACTGTACTCATGGTTTCTTTGGTAGCAGTTTTGGTGTATAAGTTCTATTTCCACCTGATGCTTCTTGCTGGTTGCAAAAAGTACAGCAGAGGCGAAAGCACCTACGATGCCTTCGTTATCTACTCAAGCCAGGATGAAGACTGGGTGAGGAATGAACTGGTAAAGAACTTGGAGGAGGGGGTGCCTCCCTTTCAGCTCTGCCTTCACTACAGAGACTTTATCCCTGGTGTGGCCATCGCCGCCAATATCATCCAGGAAGGGTTCCACAAAAGCCGGAAGGTTATCGTTGTGGTGTCCCGACACTTCATCCAGAGCCGGTGGTGCATCTTTGAGTACGAGATTGCCCAGACCTGGCAGTTTCTTAGCAGTCATGCCGGCATCATCTTCATCGTCCTGCAGAAGGTGGAGAAGTCCCTGCTGCGGCAGCAGGTGGAACTGTATCGCCTCCTCAGCAGGAATACTTACCTGGAGTGGGAAGACAGTGTGCTGGGCCGGCACATCTTCTGGAGACGACTCCGAAAAGCCTTGCTGGATGGTAAACCATGGAGTCCAGAAGAAATGGCGGACGCAGAAAACAACTAGTATGAAATGGTAACCTCTGCCTGGGGAGGAAAAGCTCCCATGGGGCTCTGTGCCCAGCTGGACCCAGGACTTGTTCAGTTAACGAGTACTAAATGCTGCGACGTCCCTGGCATTATGCTAGGGGCTGATGGTTCAGTGGTGCAGGAGGTTTACAGGACTGCTGACCTCATGGAGTTTAGTGCACAGGGAATAATAGTGTGCTAAATCACATACCTCCAGGTGCATGCTTCCACCAAATCAGCTCAGGAGTCCATGGCATGGAAAGTCAACTCAATTCTTACCCCCATCAAACTCAATTAGAACTAAGAGATGGGGCCCCAGAGAGATCAGAAAAAGATGTAATTCTTCACCCGAGTTTTTGGAATGGAAACTACCTCATGTTTTACATGCTAGCTGTCTTAAAGATGTTTGGGCAGTTTTAACTGAACAAAGTCTTTGCTCACCTTTCCCTCTTCTACTGAATGCAACTTAAATTCCACTCAATTCAGCAGCCTCCTGATTCAGACCCCTTCACCTCCACTTGAAGCCAGTTTCTTTACAAAGGTTAAAGTCTAGTTACTGATTCCCAAGGAAATCTGATTAACACATATCCACAAACATCCTGGCCATTCTTTAGTATGTTCTATTTATTAACGAATCGTGCCTGGTGCATTTTTGTTTTTACAAAATCCAGTTCTCATTTTTCATGTTTCCTCTATAAACTCTTATCATAAATAAGACTGTTAGAGACATGCTGGAAATTTCCATATTTAAGCACTATCATTCAAGCAAATATGTAAAATACACTCCATCACTTTGTCACTTGATGTCACTCTAAAAGTTATTACCTACTAGGTTATGACTGTCATGAAGGAAGCATTAAAATAATTTGGTTGAAAGTGGCACTTATTTTAATAGAGAGGGACAAATCCAAATTCCCAGTTCTGTAATGAGCAATTCGGGGCTAAGGGTATGCCAAGAAATAGGTTGGCCTGGAGGGCAGTTCTTAATGGTCCCAGAAACATAGGGCTGATACAGCTGGGATGACCATGCAACACGAACCACAGCAGTCACTTCTGCAGGAAATGAGTATTTGCTGATGGAACATTGACTTGTTCAGGGGATTATGAAATAGTTCAAGGTGGGAAGTACACACTGCTGCTTCCTGTTGAGTACTACTCCCCATGACCACATTCAGGAAAGAGTAGATATTATCACTGAAAAAATAGTCTCACTGAGGTTAATGTGGTCATGTTAAGGGGAATTCTTAGAAGAACACACACCCTTCTTCTTCTGGAAGAACAATAAAGTAATCTGGAAAATACGGTTGTCAAAACTGAAAACATAGCCACAACCCAGGAGTGTGTTTGTGACTGTTTCAGAGTATATTTTGGTTGGAGCATAACTGGAGTTGTTGAACATACCTGGGTGTGCTTATAGGTCTTACATGGCAGTGAAAGTAGATCTGTGTCTTTGTGTGCATGCCTCTTTGTGTTGCTGTCTGTGTCTGTGTGTATGCAAGAGTGTGTGTGTCTGTGTGATCATGTCTGCATGGGACAGTGTGATTCTCTTGCAAGGGGAATATGTGCATTTGATGTGGATGTCCACAGCTGTTTGAGATAGTTTCTCTACTCCTGTGTTTGTATGTGATTGCTTATATACGACACCTGTGTTAGATTTGAGTATGCCCAAAGCCGTGTGTTTTTGTATGTACCCAGGCTATCATGAGTGTGCTTATGTTCATATTTGAGTGCGGGTTCTGCAGATGTGTGTTAGTTAAAGCAAATATACAAGACCCCAAGGAGGAAAATCAAAATGAAGCTGGAATGTTTCTTGTATACAAGGTTGATGCTGGCCTCCTTCCCATCAGTCCCCTCTCCCAAATGGGGATTCTGAAAATTGCAGGTGAAGCAGATAAGGAGGGAAAGAAACAATAGGATGGAAACATAAGGGGAGGAAAGAGGAAAGTCAGACCAGGAGCAGGTCCTTTGAAGCCATTTAAGTTCTCTGGATTAAAAGGAGACCAGAAATGGAGTAGAGAGAAATTAATACTAATTAGAATGCCTTCAATTTGTGGAATACACTGCAACTTAGAGCACAGTCATACAATTATGACCACATCTGAATTTCTTATTATCTGGGGGAGGTAGCAAGTTAAGAATTAATTTCCCTATTTTACAGTCATGAAAACTGAAGTTGAAGGAAGGAAGGAAGTTTATTATCAATAGGCTGCAGTATAAGTGAACGGCAGGGCCTGAACTTGGGCCCACAGCCTCCTTGGGGCAGCTCACTTTCCACCGCACCCCAGTGCTTCACGCTTTAAGTCAGTAAAACAAGAAGTGAAACCGCTGTAGTTCTCTGGGTAGTCAACACTGGTCAAGAGTTTTTCACTGAAACCGTGAATCATTAGGCAAATACATATGCATATATATATATATAAAATATATATATACTGAGTGATTTATTCATAACACTTTCCTTTTCATAAAAGGATGTGAGGGAGATTCAAACAAAGTATTCCTGGACAATAAGGGGACTCGACAAGAGCTAGAAAAGCAGGACAAAGGATGAAAAAGAGGAAAGGAAGACACTAGGAGTAAACTTTAATATCATGCTTCCCCATTCAGACTCCAGAGAGCTTCCCCCACCCACCATAGTGTTTTGGATAGTTGGAGAGTGTGGCTTCTAGAGAAAGTCACAACTCAGACTTAACCATTTACCATGACTGTTCGGGGCTTCACATTTATGAGCGCCTGGCTAACTCCAGTATAAAATGGGGGTGGGCTATTACCCTCTGAACGGCTGTCAGTATTAAGTATGATTGCATGTATAAGGGATACTATTTTTATGGAGGACTAATCCTCTGGGATTTCATAAACAGTGAACAGAACGAAATATTGAGTGGTGTTCTCAAAACAAAAAAACAAAAAACCAACATTTTAGCAAATGCTGTTTTCCCAACCTGTGGGACCACAGGAAGGCTCTAATTAGTCAGTTTCTTTCTGACTCAGTTCCCACCCACAGGATTGCCAGAACCCCAGCTGCCTTTTGGACTTTGTTACCTCTCTAGAAATCACCAGGAGGTTCCTGGAGGGTCTTACAGAAACACAGTCCTCCACAAGAATGATCTCCCTCTGTGAGGGTAAGGAGCATGTCCATTCATCCTTTGCTGCTCCAGCCCTGAGCTTGATGGCCTGCACAGAGCAGCCATCTGTTTATTTAAAGAATTCATGAGTAAGTGAAGACCCACCTCTACAGGGAGGCTGTCCTCTGTATCTCAAGGCCCCTAGGATCCAGACCACAGCTCTTTGCTGCACTTGCAGTGTCTGGGGCTCTAGACTTCTACAGCTATTTCTTGTCTCTGCTGTCTCCATGGATGTTCTCAACCTCTTCCTCCACTCAGTTCCTTAACTCCCAAGTATTCCAAAAGTTACTTTGCAGAAGAAGGGAAGAGGACTTCTAATAGTTATCCTTAGTCGCTATATTTAGGTCCTACTCTACTGTTTTATGTATGATATGTGATTTAAATTCACATACCACATTATTATTACCCATTAGGAAACAAAGACTCTGAGGCTATAAGTAACCTATCCAAAGTCGCACAGCTGGTAAATGCACAGCTTGAATTTAAACCTAGTCTCTCTTCTATCAGCAGGCAATGCGGCTAGGTGGTTTCCCTGTCTTCCCTCCATTTATTATAGAGATTTTAGTATACTGTTCTTTATTTTTATTTTCTCTTCGTATGGCCAGAGCTCAATGCCTGAACCTAGATATGAAGCTGAAACCAAAAGATGGGTGTTGGTTTGAAGGCTGAACTTTATAAGAGATATCAAGCAGTCCATGAACAACCATTTTCTCACAATGGAGGACTAAGCCCTTCCTATTTCAACTCTCTTTTCCAACAGAGTGCATTCTTTTCCAAGATGTTCCCAGGATTTTCTTGCAAACAGGTCCATCCAAATGTCCTTCCAGGTGGACCAAGCTGATTCTTATTTATACCAAGTACCCAACACCCTATACTCAGTGATCCTTTCTGCTACATGATTTTAAATAAGGCTATTCCAAAGATACAGATATAATGAAAAGAAGGGACACATGCATCCCAATGTTCATAGCAGTGTCCACAACAGCCAAACTGAGGAAGGAGCCAAGATATCCTTCAGCAGATGAATGGATAAAGAAGATGTGGTTCATACATAAGGTGGAATATTCCTCAGCCATCAGAAAGGATGAATACCCACCATTTGCACTGACATGGATGGAAATGGAGGAGATTATGCTGAGTGAAATAAGCAGAGAAACACAGTTATCATATGGTTTCACTAATATGTGGAACATAAGGAATAGTGTGGAGGACCACACGGGAAAGGAGGGAAAACCAAATAGGATGAAATTAGAGAATGAGGCAAACCATGAGAGACTCTGGACTCCAGGGAAACAAACTGAGGGTTACAGAAGGGAGGGCGGTGGGAGCCTGGGATAACCAGGTGATAGGTCTTAAGGAGGGCACATGTTGTGATGAGCACTGGGTGTTATATGCAAGCAATGAATTACTGAACATCACATCAAAAACTAATGATGTACTATATGTTGACTAACTGAACTAAGTAAATAACGAACTAACTAACTAAAGCTATTCCTTTCCATGTCTTCATTAAATGGCACTGGTAAGCAACTTGATATGGACCTGATATTCATACTCTGAACTCATCAGCTTTAGTAATGTACCTTAACACAGGATTTAAAGTGGACTGTCTGGAGGAGGAGCAACCTAGCATGAAACTTACACAGGGTTTCCTACTGGCACAATCACTTTCCCTTCCTTTAGCTTGGGTAAATGAGAGGACCCAATCACTCAGAGTATAAGAGTGCGAATTTCAGCCTACCACTTAGGATGCTAATAATCTATTTGGCTAATTGAAGATTAATACTGATGCTTTGAGAATCAGAAATGGCTGGAAAGTCTGACTTTTAATTTCTTCCCATGTAATATCCTAGCATTTGTTATTAAACATAGCAGGTGTAAAGGTTGCCTGGGTGGCTCAGTTGGTTAAGTATCTGACTCTTGATTTTGGCTCAGGTCATGATCTCAGGGTCATGAGATCGAGCCCCGTTTATGGGCCTCCATGCTGGGCATGGAGTCTGTTTGAGATTCTTTCTTTCCTTCTCCTTCTGCCCCTCCACTCCCCTCAAATAAATAAATAAATGGGGTGCAGATTTTAAAAAAATCTTAATGTGGACTTATATATGGAGGTGTCAGTCCAGCAGATGTGTATGATGGATTTGGGTTTGGGTCCTGGTTCTGCCACACCTTCACAATATAATTTTGAACAAGTTTCTTAAGCTAATTCTAGTTTTTCTTGAGTAGCAAGGGTAACTATTTCCTATGCTACAGGGCTACTATAAAAGTACAATAAAGAGTGAAAAGAAGACACAGCATAACTCTAAATTTACCTGCTTGAAGAATCTATCTTAACAATAGGAAATATCCCAAGCCTGATATGAAGTTGAAATAGAAAACTGGAATTCTGAAGGTCTCTAAGGCAGGAGGTCTTACACCCATAGTAAAATTCAAGCATTCGACACGTGGGGTGGGAGATGGAAA